ATGTTGTCGTAAATAATGAAATTTATGAGTTGAATATAAAGTTAAAATATGATCCGTTTATTAAACATTAATTAATTTATTTCGAATTAATAACTTAAAGGAGTAAATTCAAAAGGACTGAAATGAAAATAAATGAATATTATAATCCTAAATACAAATAAAAATAAGTATTTAAATTTATAAAGACCAACATAGAAAAAAAACTTTTAAGGATCGAAATATCAAAAATAGAAAATTAAAGGACTACAATGATATAAACGAAAACTTTAAGTCCTAAAATAGTAATTACCAAAAATTAAAAGTTAAAAATAATAAAAAAAAATTCTAAAGGGATTAAAATAGCAAAACATAATTTTAAGGGGCTAAACAAATTTCTTAGATTGAAAATATCAAATAATACTGATACTAAAAGTGAAAATAATCCTTAAATAATAGATTAAAATAAATTAAACAAAAATCTAAAAGAGTATATAAATAATTAAACAAGAAAATGCATTTAAAAATTCATAATGACTAAAATAATCATAGGGGAAAATCTACAGCTTAAACACCATAAAAACTATAACAAAACACAAATAAGAACTAAAATAAAATACAACAGAAATACGAGACAAAGATGCATAATAATTAAAAATAAAACATTTACTTAGGCTAAAACTTAGACTATAACTTTTAAAAAAGTAAATAATAATTAATAGTTTTAGTTGAAACCAAAATCCATTTATATGAATAAAGGATAAAGTGAAATCTAGAAAAGATTGAAAATGTGCGGTCATGTTGCAAAGGTTGAATATATTGAAAAAATAGAATGGTCACATGCAAGCATTATATTTTTTAAACCAAGTATCTACTCACGGATTAAAAAAATACTACAAGTTAAAATTATCATCAATCACGCATGCTGCCCCAACAACAATACTATATTAACAAAATATTAAAACATATAAGTAGTGACTTAAATTCGAAAGTTAAAAAAATAAAAGCCCAAAACACAATAATACAATACTTAAATTAATGACTAAAATAATATATCATGTAATAATAGGACTAAAATAAATTAAATAAAAACATGAAATGGAAAATAACAATTAGACCGAAATACATTAATAATGACTAAAATAAAAATAACTGATAGTAAAATGCACAAATCAAAAAGAAATAAAATAGAAAATAACATAATTATTGGTTAACATATAAATGACAAAACTTAAGTGCCAAAAGTGAAATAGACAAAACATATCTATTCGAAAACTAAAATGTAGACTAGGATGATGTTATAGGGGTTTAATGCAATATTACGCAAGTAATTGGTGTCCATTTTACAACAACACGCTAAATGTTAGAGGGTTTGAAAGTGATTTTACGCAAAAATTAAGTGACCAACATGTAAATACGCTCTAAAGTTATAATGGCTCAATTGAAATTTATCCAATTTTCAGATTATAAATACTATGTTTATAACATTTTAAGCAAAATCCTAGCCATTTTCAACTTTCTTATCAACTCTTTCTTTTCTCTAACCCAGGCAACCTCACGAGGGCCATGGAATGGCCGACCACCGTATAACGGTGGTTCTTCTTCACTCCGACCACCCAAAAACAAACCTAAACTTAACACAAATACTTCAAAACCTTCTCCTTTCTTACCTCATCCAAACCTTAAAGAAAACCGAGCCACTAAAACCGATGTACAAATCATCGACAGAGGAGCGCGATTTTTCAGTCCCCATCTCTGGTGACCTTAAGATAAACGTCTAACACTCTTATCCAATATTTTATATTTTACTGCTTTGGTTCGAAATAAAATGCTTCTAAAAAAGAAAAGAAAAGAACCTTTAAAAATTTTGATTTTCGTTTGATTCTTCTTGCTGTGTATTCTGAAATGAAAGAGATAAAATCTCTATTACAAATTGCTAATTTTTCGAAAGAGAAACATACCCCAGCCCCTTATAAGAACTGCCCTGTTTACACTCCCTTCTTTTTTGAAATGCTTTCCTTCGTTTTTGGTTGCCCTCTTCTCCTTCTCCCTTCTCCCCTTTTTCTCTAGTTCATTTTCGATTTTATTGTTAAAATCTTCACCGAATCTCTTTAGATACATCTATATTTTTTACGTTAGTATGATGTTAACGGGTTAGGTAAAATCATTAATTTTACTTGATTTTGGTGCATGTAATTTGATGAATTCAATTGAAATGACCTGAATTGTTGGTGAGGATAAAATCTTGTCGTTGACATAAAGAATAATTGGAATTGACGGTGTGTACAGTGAATATATATTCTAGACTTATAATTATCACTTGTTAAACTGCATAAAATATAAATAAAATGATATTAATAATAATAATAAAAAAAAATAATAATAATATAGTATATAATAATAAATATAATATATATTTTAATCTCAATCAAAAAATGAATGTCTACACATATTTTTGGGCAAAAATTCTCATATAATGCTACAGGGAATTTTTAATTCCCAAATTAAAGTGTTCATCCGATTAATTCCTCAAATGGGGTATTTTCTACAGTAAATTTGGGATATCTCGGCGTCTTCAGGGTTAACCAATTTTTTAGTGGGATCTCCCGGCGTCTTCAGGGTGTTGGATTATTTGTGTTTTCTACGATATATTTAGGATTTCTCGGCGTCTTCAGGGTGAACCAGATTTTTTTTACTCCTTGCTTGGATCTCTAGGCGTCTTTACTTTAAATCCATGAAAAAATTTGGCCTTTTTACACAAATATCACCTTAACATAAATTAATTACTTGTTAGGCACTGTTTAAGAATATTTTACAGATCAAGCAAATTTTTAAATAATTTCTATAAAATTAATCATTTTGTTAGTATTTATTTAATTATTGTATTATTTAATTTTTTATTATTTTATTTAATTATTTTATTTTTTTACAGTTATAAAATAGAAAGTGATCCTTGAATAATTATATTCGGATTTCTCGGCTTTTAAACTTTTCTCTCGGCTATAAATACGCTCTCAACACATGGATATCTATACTGAAGCAACGACATTCTTCTAGTTTAGAGGATTGATGTGAATGTTTACAGGTTGAGAACGTATTTACAGCCGAGAGAAAAGTTTAAAAGCCGAGAAATCCGAATATAATTATTCAATGACCACTTTCTATTTTATAACTGTAAAAAAATAAAATAATTAAATAAAATAATAAAAAAATTAAATAATACAATAATTAAATAAAATACTAACAAAATATGATTAATTTTATAGAAATTATTTAAAAATTTGCTTATCTGTAAAATATTCTTAAACAGTGCCTAACAAGTAATTAATTTATGTTAAGGTGATATTTGTGTAAAAAGGCCAAATTTTTTCATGGATTTAAAGTAAAGACGCCTAGAGATCCAAGCAAGGAGTAAAAAAAATCTGGTTCACCCTGAAGACGCCGAGAATCCTAAATATACCGTAGAAAACACAAATAATCCAACACCCTGAAGACGCCGGGAGATCCCACTAAAAAATTGGTTAACCCTGAAGACGCCAAGATATCCCAAATTTACTGTAGAAAATACCCCAGTTGAGGAATTAATCGGATGAACACTTTAATTTGGGAATTAAAAATTCCCTGTAGCATTATACGGGAACTTTTGCCCATATTTTTGCTTTATGATAATATTTTTTTATTTTTTAAATTGAATCGATGTTCATTATACATTAACATTATATTTTTATTATAAACTAAAATAAATTTTGTTTTATGAAATTTCTTATCAACTTTATCATTTTATATTTAGATAAGTCACCTATTAAATTTATGTAATGATTTTTTAATAATTATATTTTAATTCAATTATTTAACAATTATTTGTTTATTTCTATTTTTGAAAAATTAGTTACCAAATTCATTTTTATTATTTTATTTTTGATTCAAGTTTTCATTTATATTAGCCCAAATATGTTTTATAATTTTCAAAAAAGTTGAGAGTGAAAACTATATTTTGAAAATAAAAATATAAAATAAAAAAAAATATTTTCTAAAACCAAACAGATGGTAAATATCTTTAAAAAATATATGTTTCCTTTACCGGATTTGTTCTGTTATTTTTATTTTTCGACTGAAATAAACCCAACCTAATAAGTTAAGGCTATCACCTGGTAGTTTAACTAATGTCGGTTATATACTCATATTTTAAGGATGAAGTGTAAGCTTTTTCGTTTAAATCTTTCAAAGAAATTACCCTGGAAAAAAACCCAAAGGATGAAGTGTTGAACTTTTGTAGAAAACCAGAAGTCAAAAACTTATATTATATACAGGCTAAGCCTTGTAAACAATCAAGGGTGGTCTAGTGGTCAGGACATTGGAATTTGAATCCAGTAATTTAAGGTTTTGGTTGCATTTCATACCGTTCGTGGTCGCCTTTAATCCAATTCACATATGTAAATTCTCAAAGCTTTTCTTCTAGGTCCTCTTGTGCAGTAAAAACATAAAACTATCGTTACCGCACCATGTACTGAAACAGTGTTGCTGGTTTTGGGACTTGTATGTAGGCTGCTGCACCTTGTTTGATCACCGTAAATCCCCTACCCTCCATGTTAACATCCATATAGGAAAAAGAAAATTCAAAGATTTCTTAGCTTAGTTTGCGGTTACTATGATTTCTGCAATGAGAGCAAAAAGAACTCATATGGTCCTTGCGGTGAGTTATGATGCAAGCTGTTGAAGAACCTGCAGCTTGGTGTTTCACCTGAGGAGAGATGCATGATTTTATGTTAAGGAGTAGACTAATCTTTTTGTTTACTCTCTAAGCCTTGCATGATGACTTAGATACTGTCATGCCTAGAGCAATGAAGGTTATTTGAAAGTTGGTATGCTAAATACATCCGACTGTCAAATAGTAGGTGTAGGCGGTCGGAGGCATAAAATTTCTAGAGCTACAAAGTTTAATAGGAAGAGAAATAACTATGGAGGTGTGACTTTCTAAAGAGATTGGGAAGAAGTACAGCATGTGTCAATGTTGGCGGATGATATTGGTTGGAAGTGCCATTTCCCTAATAACCCATTGTCTTTCAACCTAAAACATCCATCCCATGCAAAGTAACAGCTAAACAAGTACAATAACGCTAAACAAGTACAAATACTAGTACTGACCTGAGTGGTAATAAGCAAAGACTACAAGTACTGTTGTTTTATCAACTGTTTATTTTGATCAACAATAAAGAGAAAGTAGTATCACCACTTGGAAATAATGGAAGTTGCAGCATAAAGAGCCCCTGCGACAAATGTTGAAATGATGGTAATTTTGGCCGGCATTTTCCCATGATCACTCCTCAAGGCAATCGCTTCATAAATTGGGAGGCAGTTCAACACAATGCACCCTGCAAGTACCATCTGTAAAATCAGGCTTTCCCCCACATCTCTGCCGCCGCTGAATATTAAAACGGCTCCCCAGATGAATGAGAGCAAGTTGATTATTGCCGCTGTCGTTGGCGGCACAAACAACGTGGACGGGGCTCCAAACTCCCACACCCCTCGATAATATCGTTTGTATTGCTCATCATCCACCACTTTGCTGGTCACAATGAACCCGTAACTCGACAGGCCTATCGGCTTAAGAAGACACTCCGCTGTTGCAAAGGCGAAACTCGAAAGGTTCCGAATCATCCACATCCTTTGACTGCTCCACCACTTCCTGAAACTTGATCCCTCTATGACATATTCAATGAAATCCTGGCCGTATGCACCAAGGAAAAGAAACACGTGTAGGAGAAACCACGGTTCATACATCTGCAATAGGTTCATCATCATCGTAAGTGGATGTAATGAACAATATTCAACAACAAAATTTACAATCTAAACCTTGGGGAAGACGGAGACTCCATTGAAGAGTCCTAATTGAGGGATGAAAGCATAGATTGTAGTTGGAATGGATAATATGGTCCAGAATGTGTAGCAAGAATAGCCAAGACCTATTGGCAATCCCATTGTACGAGTTCCAAAAGTTATGGGAGAGTACTTTGATAAACCTATTTCAAGTAGGCCTAACCCCCATCGCTCCCATTGATACAGTGCATCAACGAGGTTGATTGGCGCATTCCCTAGAAACGCAGCCCTTTCAGGGTCGCAAAATATGGACCTCCATCCTTCACTATGCATCTGATAACCTGTGAATAAGTCCTCAACTAATGATCCATACCTAAACCCCATCTGCATTTACATTTTGATCATTAAAACTAATGTCAATAACTCAATCAACTCACGCAATCTTGTCCATTTGCTTATTAAAAAGCTCACCTTGGAACCCCATTGGGTCTGAATCTCATAGTTGCAGCTTGCTACACCATGTGCTAATGCCAAAACATCAGGAGATTTAATGTGTTTTTTCACAACATAGTCAGGGCTGAGTTCAGGGATTCCCGTTTCTACACAAGCTGATGGATCACCGAATAGAGCTCTTCGACGGAAAAAGGTTCCAGTCCCGAAGTAATATGCTCCCCCAAGACCATCGGCACCCCGAGGATGCAACCGGATGATGTGCTTGAACTCGTATCCATAGGTGTCATCTTTGTTCAAGCCTTGAAATCGTTGAGGAAATTGAATGAACCCCAGAGTAGGTTGAATGGCAAGGTCATATACATAACATAGTATCCTCAGAGGTGTTGTAGGATCATTGGAATACATGTCACAGTCTTGGGTTAATATTAAAGGAGCATTTGTCATGATCGTCGATACCCGAAGCTTCGATATACAAAAAAAACATGGAGAAACGTTAGATCAAACAAAATGTAAAACAATGTTGGTTGGAAACAAGGTAAGAAGATGATGAATTATAGATACCAGAACATTTAGAGCACCGGCCTTGAAATAGTGGAGTGACGTCTTACTTTTCTGCCTGGAAACATAGATGAGATTTGGCAAGAAATGTCCGGTGATGTCTTTGTTATGGCGGCTGTCTAGTAGAACCTGAATAACAGTGGGGTGATCTTGCAGAGTAAATCCAGATTTCCATTTGTTAAATACTTCACGTTCTTCATCATCGTTGATGTAAATTTCACTAACTTCTCCTCTGTTCATTACATTTTCAACTTTCGCCTTCATGTTTTCATACATCTCCTGCCACATGCAATGCACCAAGTGAATTGATTTCTACTTCTATTACAATGTTGAAGATTTTGGCGCGTAATATTATTTGAATATAATTAATATAAGATTCAAGATTAAAAGGATAAATTTGAAAATATATAAAAAGAAATCACCTTAATTAGTCAGATTAAATTTACGATATAATGCAAACCAAAACTAAAAGGATAAACTCCTCTTTTCACCATTTAACTTTGACCATATTCTTATTCTAGTCACTCCACTTTGAAAATGTTCTATTTTATCACTAAACTTCTGAATTGCATATGTCTAGCTAATATTCTATCGTTAATTATTTAGTGACTTTATGATAGAGCATCTTTAAGAAAATTATGAAAATCCTCAAAACTTATTGTTCTATTTTATGCAAATACCTCCAAAATCTTCCTTTCTATAGTTTTAATCTAATTTTTTATATTATTATTTATTTTTCGACGAAGATCTTCTTTCAAATCTCAATGATTAAAGGTTGGAAAAAGGAGGAGACAAACATTATATCATATTTTACATTGTTCCAACGATAAAGATTTTATTCTATAGTTATTTTATTTTAATTTTTGGATTTAATTTCATGATTTTTAAAGAAGATTTGAAAAAAATCTAGACTAACAAGTGATAAGAAATGATAAAACAGTTGAATATTATGCTTTGTAATATTTTAAGCCAGACATCAACAATAACAAAATGATTAAACATATAAAATAAAACTAATATAACAAGCATAAATAAATGTATAAAAATTAGGTACAATATATTATTAAAAATAAAAAATTATATAACACTAATTTGTGTAATTTTATGTTTATTTTATATGAAATTAATAAAATAATACTTTTTGATAATAAAAGAAAGAAAAAAAATAAAAATAAATTTGAAACCTAATATCAATCACAATTAAAATAATGTTATTTAAAATCAAGAATATTTAAAACAGATACTAATTTATAAATATTATTTATAGTTACATCATAAACCTTATTTACAATAATAGTTTTGTTTTGAAGTTTAATAAAAGTTGAAGTTAGTGAAAATGGGTTTACCTTAATCTTGTCGGTGTCGGAGTTCGTGGAATGAACCGAAGAAAAGTAAACATGGGGGCTTCTATCCATAATATCATTCTCCCTGCAAAATGGTAACCAGTAGCTTGCAAACTTAGCAGCCTCCATGAAGGCGAAAAGAGTAAAAGCTGATCCTGCGTCGTCCGATACGTAAACGGAGATCTTCTCCGTCGGATAATCATAAGCCATCAACGACAAAGCGGTATTCACCACCCCAATCGGCGGCTCCTTGTAAGGATCAGCCGTGCATACGAACACGTCCAACCCTGGAAATTCTTCTTCTCTGATAAACTTTTTGAGGTTTTCAGGGTACTGTTTACGACGAATAGGGCACATCCGGAGAGCTTGTGCGGCAGCCCACATGAAGGCGAGAACAAGATCGGCGATGAGCAAAGAGAGGGTGAAGGAGAAAGAGGCTAGGGTGGTGGAATTTACAAGTGTTTGCGCATGGCGGTAGAGTAGAGCTAGGATGGCCAATGTGTAAACCGCCGCAAAGAAGCGGTTCGGGCCTGTCCGTGGATGGCGTTCCACGGTGTGAAAAGGAGGCTGATTGTTAGGTTCCGGGGCGGTGGAGTTGTCATCTCTTCCACTTTGAGACCTCATTTCTTCGTTGGGTGATTTTGGTACTGGGAGTGGGTATTAATAAGTGGGCAATGGGGGCATTGGGCAGCACCGGGGAGAAATTAATCCATTGCTTTTACCTATTAAATTCAAGAAACGTGATCAATAACTGACATTTTGTAATGAGATCATGCATACCAGTACTCAAGCAAATCGAGAAATAATAAAAATCATATTATGTAATTTAATTTAGTTTGAATTTTCTATTTTACGATCTAATTTCGGTTCAATTTAAATATTTAATTTTATAATTTGATTGCGGTTCAATTTTTTTACGTGAAACACGTTTGTTTCAAATAAAATTCAAATTAAAATAGTCCTAAATTATGATAAAAATTGTGATAGAGTCCCTACAGCCTTTATAATGAATTTGTTGGTGATTTTATCGAAAAATCATCCTGACATATTTTATTTACCTGTCAAAAATCATTTTAAATTTTTTTACCGATTTAACACCCTTTGCAGGAAGTCGCAGATCATCATCCGCGCCACGCTAACGTATTGTCAATTCGGATAAAGTGTGGATGATGATCCGTCTCTTTATGAAATGAGTGCTAGATCTATAAAATTTTCTGAAACGGTGTCAAATAGATAATTAATTTATATTATGATTCTTTTTGTGTAAAAACACCAAAAAATATTAAGAAAGTAGATTTGTTTTGTTTTTTTTGGAAAAAAAATAAATTTTAATTAGCCAATCATTTTAATTTCCTATCTTTTGAAAAATTAAGTCATATGACCATAAAGAAAATCATGTGACTTTCACACTTATAATTTTCTTCAAATAATTTTTTTTAATAATTTTTTTATTAAATCCTTGGAAATAAGATAATAAAATATACTTTTTCTTCAATAATAATAATAATAATGAAAAATAGTGTTAATACACTTTTTCTCGTCTATTTATTTTGTCATTATTTAACCAATAAACTAATGATGTTTACTCTAGACAAGACCTTGATAATTGAGTTTTTATCATTGATTTTTCAAAAAAAAATATTATTATGTTTTTAATTCAAAAAATTATTTTTTATTATTATATTTTTAATTCGTTTTATTTTGATAATAGAGTCATTAATTTGTATTATTTTATTAGCATCACACATTAATAAAAATTTAATGAGTTAATGCTAATGAACCTTTAAATGTATGTCATCCCCTTAAGCAGTGTATCCCCTTAAACCAACAGTAGTTTATAAGAATTCACTAATTATTCATTCAATCGACGTATCAGAAACATATTAAAATATAGATTTATAAGAATTTTATAAGAAACATATTAAACGTATCTAAGAATAACTTTGAAGCTCAATTAAATTTAAAAATGTATTCAACACAAAAAGATTGGTTAAATAATAACAAAATCAAGAGACGATACAAAGTTTATTGGCACTATTTTTCATTATTATTTTTATTATTGAAGAAAAAAATGTATTTTATTATCTTATTTCCAGGATTTAATGAAAAATTTTATTAAAAAGAAAACAAATTATTTGAAGAAATGAATAAGTGTGAAAGTAACGTGATTTTCTTTATGGTCATAAGACTTAATTTTTCAGAAGATAAGAAATAAAAATGATTGGCTAATTAAATTTTATCTTTTTTCCACACAAAAAAAAACAAAACAAAGTTATTTCCTTAATATTTTTGTGGTATTTTTACACAAATCACCCTAACAAAAGTTAATTACCTATTATGCATCGTTTCAAAAAAAATTATGGATCTAGCACTCATCCTAGAAAGGTGTAGATCATCATCCGTATTTTATCCGAATTAGCGTCACGTCAGCGTAAGACATGGATGATGATCCGTGTCTTTATGCAAAGGATACTAGATCGATAATTTTTTATAAATAAAATTTATCTGGGTGATTTTTCGATAAAATAGCCGAATTTGCACCGTTAAATTGACATCCTTTTTTTCCTTTTTGGGTTGCAAAGAGAGCCAGTGCTTTAGCTGTTGGTTGAACTATTTCTTAAGGAGAAAATAATCTCAGTGACCGAAAATGCCTTATAATATACGATTTTGACCAACTTTTTTTCAATTTGCCAAAAATGACCAACAAAATCGCAATGCGATCTCTAAATCGCAACGCGATCTCTAAATCGCAACGCGATCTCCAGTATCGCAAATCAGTTTCCAGATTCGCAACGCGATTCTGACTATCGCAACGCGATTCTAGAAAATCGCAATGCGAATATGTAAATCGCAGCGCGATTCTGACTATCGCAATGCGATAATACAAAATCGCAATGTGATTTTCCAAATTCGTTGCGATAGTCCAAGTTCATATTGCATTTGTTTCTTAACGACTGGTGGTATTGCATTTGTTTCTTAAGAATTTTCTCTAAAAAGATAGTAATCGCACGGACGTGTCGAAGACACGTATTACCACGACCACGACACGACCAGACCCGACCCGACCCGACCCGAGACAAGACGGCGGCGGCGGCGGTGCGCGAGAGTCCCCCTTGTTCTCTTCCACTCAACAAGGAAGTGGGGAATCCAAGCCTTAAATACTCATTCCCAATAGTGTTTCCAATACTATGTGGGATTAAGCATTACAAACACTTGGGAATCTTTTACACTATCGCAACACATTCTTTATTGTTTCAAACTAAGATCTTACAAATGACTTGGGAATCTTTTACACTATCGCAACACATTCTTTATTGTTTCAAACTCCACTTGAATTTGGAATAGTTAAAATGTAAACTTATTTTGGATTTTTCACTATCGCAACAACACGTTTTTCAAACTCTCGCAACACATTTTAACTATCGCAACACATTTTTCAAAATCGCGTTGCGAATCTGGATATTCGCGTTGCGAATTTGGAAACTGAGTTGAAAAATTAGAGTTCGCGTTGCGGTTTTGTTGGTCATTTTGGCAAATCAAAAAAAATTTGGTTAAAATCGTATATTATAAGGCATTTTCGGTCACTGAGGTTATTTTCTCTTTCTTAAGGCAGCTTTATCAGTGTTGAGTAGGCGTTGGATTTCACTCCTTGGATGCTTGGAAATGACATTTTTATTAACAAAACGTGTCATGTTTTGGAATACTATATTTTAAGGGTAAACTATAAATTTAGTACCTAAATTATTAATTTTAGTTCTTTTTGGTACTTAAAATTTTAATTTTTCAAAATTGTACCAAACATTTAGTTTTTATTTCATTTTAGTATTCTATCGTTAAAAATTTAACGCATTTAGTACATAAACTATCGGTTTTGTTTAGTGGGTAGTGGACGGGTATGGATGTAAAAACCCGCTGTAGGTAGTGGGTAGGTGATGGGTTTAAGACCATATCCGCCCCTATCTGCCCGCCCACAAATTACCCATCATATAAATTTTGGACCATTATGAATTTAGGTATAATTTTAAAGAAGATTCTATAAATCTAATGATTTTATAGGACATGGTTTGTAATTTAACCAAATGTTAGGGTATAAATTCAATTAATCATTGGCTTATTTTATTATGTTTCTTAATGGATGTGTTTGTTTTATATTTTGTTGCTTATGTAATATGTGAGGTTGCTGCTAGGCTGGTATAAGCGGGTATGGGATGGGTGGTGGGTATCCAGTTGGGTAGTGGGTGTGGGGGTGGATTTGAAAATATACCCACGTGGACGGGTGTGAATTTAAAAATTTACCTGTCGTAAGTGGTGGGTAGGTGATGGATGGGAAAATATTAAGTGGGTATAAGGTATTCGCACCCACCCCGCCTATTTTTCATCTCTAATTTTAGTACATAAACTTTCAATTTTTTTTCAAAACTTGACGTTAAAGTTTGAATAGGTATAAAAATGAAACAAAAACTAAAATTTTTAATGACGGGTACTAAAAAAAAAAACTAAACATTAGGTATAATGTTGAAAAAAATGAAAGTTTAGGCACTATAATAGATCAAAACTAATAGTTTAGATATTAAACGCGTAATTTACCATATTTTTCAATATTAAGTAAAAAATAATTATAAGTGAGATGATAAAAGATATTTTAGAAGTTATATATGTATTGGAATGTTAAATTAACAAATGATTATAAGTGAAATTATAAAATATTTTATACAAAAATTATTATTTTTTATTTTGATTTTGATGTCTTGGTTTTTTAATTATTTTATTTAAAAACTGTATATAAAAATAAAAATTGAAAATACTTTCCTAATAATATTAGTAATTTATTATAACAGAGATATTTTAATCATTTTATAATTAAATTATTGTTGAATTAATTTATGACTTCAACTCAATAAAAAATTATTAATAATATAGATAATAATGTTATTTATGTATAGTAAATGTTTAAAACTAATTTTGTATATAGAGATTAGAATTATTATTTGACGTTCAGAATGTTAAGAAAGTAATTTCATTAATAGTATTAAATAATATCAAGGGTAAAGTACACAAATGGTCCTTCGATTATATGATATTATTTTATTAAGTCCCTTGACTATTAAAAGTTACAAAATAGTCTTTCGACTATAGATGTTGCTTTATTAAGTACCTCAACTATTAAAAGTTACAAAATGGTCACCCAACTATTCATTATGTTCCAAAGTCGTCATTTTCTATTAAAAGTTTGACGGTTGTCTATGTTGGACGGTAGCATGATGACTGAGATCATATTTTATCATATCACAGTCAGCAGGTTAACTCTCAACTCAAATTATCATCAAATTTTTAATGAAAAAAGATGAGTTTGAAACATAATGAATAGTCGGGTGACCATTTTATACTTTTTTAATAGTCTAGGTACTCGACAAAGTAACACTTTATAGTCGAAGGACCATCTTGTAACTTTTAATAGTCGAGGGACTTAATAAAGTAATACCCTATGGTTGAGGTACCATTTGTGTACTTTACCCTAATATCAAATATCTTTAAATATAATTACATTTTAAAAAAAAAATTATATTTTCCATTATCAATGCGTCAATGATAATCCATTAACCTTACACTACTACTAATGTCATGCATATAAAAGTTTAATTCTTATCAAATTGTAATTTTTTATATTTTATAA